TCATTTACAGCTGAGTAGACTAGAACAAGCGAAGTAAAGTATCTTTCTCAAAGATACAACACAGTGACATACCGTGACTCGAACCTGCAACCCCTCGGTCACGAGTCTGGCATCCTACCACTAGACTACTGTGCCTCCTAAGTGTTATAATGTATGAAGCTTTGGTACCACCTCATTTGTTGATGGGGCATTGCCATTTCCATCAGTCTGTTCATCTGTACAACATCTTGGCAACAAAGCTCTGATACAAAAACTCCACCAGTTAACAAACTTTGTATGCAGAGGTAAAATTGTTTGCATAATAAAAACAATAACAAAATGTAGAATTATGATTATTAACACTATAACAATATATGCATGCTCTTTGTTTGTCTAGATTGTTAAAACCGACAAAAACAGCCTCAACAACCGGTTCTTGCCATTTGATGCCATAGAAACAGAAGCCATATTGAGTATAGATGATGATGCTCATCTTCGTCATGATGAAATAGTGTTCGGATTCAGGTAATGACATGTTTTCAGTTTCTGTGCTTTGTTTGATCATTTATCCATGGTTATACAAATAGTCATGAATAGGAAGGCAAAGTTCACAGATGAAGGGACCACCTAAGGGCCACTATAAAATGACTTAACTGTTATACCTGTACACAGTATCGTATTAAACTCCAACTGTGCATGTATCCTGACAGCAGACTAACCAGAGGAGCTTTGTAATTAGGGAGACACTGTCAAAAGTACAGGGGTAGGTAAGAGAGAAAGGATAAAGGTACAAAAGGTTGTAACAGGGCAGCAGATCAATGTCCCCTACAAAAACAGATGACACAGAAGACCGCCCCCATTTTTGCGAGGGAGAAGGGCCACACATAAGTTTCCTCATACATTCATACAATGGGATTCATCATGTCTATCCTTTTCCTAAACCTGTGCAGATGGCAGTCAATGGCTTGAAATAGAAGTCAGATTCAGCTTACAATTACAAAAACTCTTATTAATTATTGATGAATATAAATTTAATCAGATAATGATTACAGACCGACATGTTAGTCATGAGAATTCAACACATGTATGAGTTATCAGCTTGGTACATACACAGCGTTATTATTATCATACAGTCTGAAGATTGACAGAACTGACATGTCTGATATATATCTATGTACCATTAATCAGGGTTTGGCGTGAGGAGCGTGACCGAATCGTAGGATTCCCAGGGAGGTTCCACGCATGGGATGTACGCTCCAATGCATGGCTTTACAACTCCAACTACTCTTGTGAACTGTCCATGGTCCTCACTGGGGCAGCATTCTTCCACAAGGTAAGCCAAGTCAGATATACAGTAA